GCAAGCAATATGAATTTTTTAGTTAAGCCACTTCCCACCAGGATCCGGATCTAGGTGAATTACTATAGATTTTAGGTAAAGTATCAATAACGTCCTATCAGGAAATAAAATAAAAAATATATATTCTCATAAAATATATCAAAATTGAATCTTCAAAAACATATATATATATTGTATATATATATATGTTTGAAGATATGAGGTTATAACTGACAATTTATCAATGAAACGAGGCGTTCTATAAACATGTACATACAAAAAAAAGGGTAAGGGTTTTAGGAGTGAGAGGCGAAGGGGGGGAGGAAAATGGACAAATTTATCGAGATTTTGATGCGCGTGAGGCGATTCATGTGTGAAGAAGTCACACTCACCCTTTTATGATATCGCGTCGTACATATAGAGAGGGGCGAAGATGGCACTTGCCGTTGAAAATTCTATTTTCTCGCCGAATAGCAAAGCGAAGATGACAAAGTCGGGAGAAAATTGAGAAATTGCTTCTTCCTCTTTTTCAAGCAATAGTATAGCTGTGGCGCGTCTCTCCTCCGTGACAGGAAATAGTGCCGTTCTTCGAGATATACTCCTGTGGGACCTTGGATGGTAAAACCCTTATGGAACTAAGTGGATTCCTGGTTCCTTTGTTGGTTGCAGTGAAGTCGTTCGGACTTTTTATGTGTACTATATATATATACGAGTACATACATATGTATACTTAACAGAAAAAAGAACAAAGAGGGAAAAAAATAATACTAAAATGGTTTCCATAGTTTCGAAATGTAACATAACCTCGAAAAAAATTTAAATTGCTTTTTTGCAAGGGGAAGCATCACTAAATAGGGTAGGACTATTTTTTCTACGTTAATCCTAATATTTCACAGCGATTTGAAGAAAAAATAGATACTAATTTTGTTTTGAATAATTCTAAATTTTATTGTCAGTTTAATTTTTCAGTTTGTAAAGTTCTTTCTTCTTCTTAAATGACTTGAGGCTTGCGTTTTGGCCTATTTATTACCCGTTATGCCATTGATTGTCGAACATAGAACGGAAACTCATTTACTGTTCACGTTCCATCAAATGGCGCTGCGATCGATTAGGTAAGAGTTTACAGGTAACTGCATATATGCTGTCCTTACGGTTCGCACACATGACACCTTTTTGAAAACCGCGTCATTTCTATTATAATTTTGTAGTTCGTGGCTAAAGTACTAAACAAATTTGCCACGAACTAGTAACATAATGGTAGAAATGCCACGGTTTTTAAAAAATGTATATGCAAACCGGAAGGACAGAAATATCAAAGAGAATTTAGTATCTAAATACAGTTTTCGACAATTTAGTTAATTTTATTGAAAAATTCACTTACCCTTCCCCTCCCTGTGTTTATTACGATAAAAATGAGGTTAATTTGACGCAGCTCGTCTCTCCTACGCTACGGAGATTTCTCTTTATATAAAAAAAGACCAAAACGAATCCAGGGTGGATCAAGACGTTCTGGTACAAATTATATAATTGTTTCTCTGTCCTGACCCCTCTGACATGACATCGTATGTGGCTGTGGCATTTTTTTCCAACCCTACGAGCACACACACACACACACACACACACACACATGTATACAACATAAAGAAGGGTTCATGGCTGCCTCTCCCTAATGCACTCGACTGTCAGGAAGTGAAATACCCCAGTGTAAAACATACCAACCTCCGATAAATCCCTCTGAGGTTCATCAAAATTGTTTCCATTTCTTAAATTTACGACGAATTGTCGAAGTCAATTTTATATTCTATTGTGTACAGGTAACTGCTTATATGCTGTCCTTCCGGTTTTCACATCCTTTCTATCATGTTATTAGTTCATGGCAAAGTGTATAATGTTAGCCACGAACTAATAAGATTATAATAGAAATGCTACGGTTTTCAGTATTAAGGCAAGTGCACAATAAAAAATTTTTTAACTTTTACATAATATAGAATAGATAGTGAACGGTTTTCTAAAAAAGGTACTTATAAATAAAAAGTTTATTAAAAATTTAAATATTATAAAAATATAATTCTCTTAAAAACTATATAAAATCGTTCGTAAAGTGTGAAAATAACGAAAGTATACAGTATTCACTTCAATCGTTATAACAGAAAAATGTATTTGAGTGTTGAGAGATTGGGAAAAGGATCAACATGTGACAACAGTTTCGGTGCTTCAAATATGTATACTCTCTCTCTCTCTATATATATATAAGGAAAAATAGTAACCGATTAGGAATTGCGAGATGAAAGCTCGGGGATAAACGGTTTGTTGGCAAAAGTATTTGAGAGATGAGCAAACAGTTTTCAAGCTTTTATCACTCGGCAAACAATGGTCGCATTCAAAGATTGTATATGCTGGACAGTACAAAAGATGGTGACCACAATATCGTTCTGATCCCTCATCGCCACAACTAACACCTTCGAATGATATTTAATAACTGTAAAAGCTTTCGGAAATTCTCACGTTCAAGCGATTTATATTTCTTTATACACGTTATTTAATTTGTTATTTTCAATAATTTATCTTTTTAAATAAGGAAAAAATTGTACTATGCTTCAAAATATATACTATTTTTACACTCTATGATTTTTACTAAAAAAAAAGGAGCAAATGTATAACAGTTTGTAGGTTATACCGGAACTTATCCATAGAATTAGTGGCGCCAGTTGTACCGTGGATATTATGGTAACTAATTAAATGCGCCACTGGTCAAATTTCAATTTTTTTCAACTACCCAACCCTGTAAGTTAGTTAACTGAGTAAAATGACGCGTTTGTCCGGTGTCACTTTTCACAATTAGGGCATTTAGGGGTTTACCTGAATTTACCTAATTCACGTATGCCACAATCAAGTTGCACAATAGTACTAATAAAAAAATGGTAAATCTAATGGTAATCTACTAAATTAGTTAGAAGGTGAGAAATCTTTAATTAATTTAATAGCGGAACGTCTCTAATTTCAATATTTTAGGAGGATTCAAAATTACAGACTCGAGGCCCTCGAGGCTCAATAGAAGAAAATACAATACATTTTAAGGTTATGTTTACTGACAAGCGTCAATATAAAAAAAAAATTATAAATTAAAATTCAAGCACAATAGAAAATAAAGTTGTTTTTTTATAAGATCGCTGTTTATTACGCCTACTTTCAGAAAATATAGTCCTTGGTAATCTGGTTTAGAAAAAAATCCATAAAATTGGCCTACACATCAATAATGACATTCTTCCCTTATAATCGAAAAATTCCTCAATTCGAAACAAAAATTCTTCGCTTATAATGGAAAAATGCCATTATTTTTACTATTGGAAGTCTTCATTGACATTTTTCGCTACATCCCAGTAAGAAAATTCTCTCTTTGAAACTGAAGACATTAGCGGTTAGTCACTGAAGAAAGAGCTCGAGATAAAAAGTTTGCATATTTACTCGTTCTATTATAAAATTCGTAAAATAAATAAATTATTAAAAAAAAACAAAAATTTTTTTAAATTCATACTTTGAGGATGAAAATCAATTTTTAATATCATTGTATGAAATTTTTCATCCAAAGATTTTTTTTCCTCTCGTCTAAAGATAATTATTTTTCTGGATAAGATGAATTAGAGAAATGTATTTCGATCTTTTAGGATTCGTATTCATGGCAAGGATCATCCGTTGGAAAAAAAAGTATCTTAAGTAAGTCTTTAACCAACCATGTGCTCAGTTCCTCGCGGTTCTTTGATATTATATATAAGGGGGTTGCTTTCACAAAGAATGAAATAAATATAACCGCGTCCTCTAATCCTAGCTCTCTTTCGCAAGTTGAAAAATCGTCATTAAAAATTGTCATATCTTCCTTCTATTAATAAAAGAAGAAAAATTTAATAAATAAAAATTATTCAAGGAAATAAGAAATATGTAGAACAGTTTTATTTTTTCGTCAAAAGAATAAATAGAAAATTAAAAAATGATATTTGTTTGTGAAGAAAAATAAATTGAATTTCAATTTGAAAATGTCAATAATGTGAAATGAAAATGGACTTTTTGAAATAAAAGAAGTTTTTTTGATAAGATTCTTTTATAAAATAAATAGATCTGAAAGTTGTATTTTTATCTTTATATATTTCTTATTTCCATGGGATATTTTTTCTTCTGTTCTCTGAGACAGTTTCAAATTTCCGCTCAGCTGGACAGAATGAATATGAAGAGACGTTATGGACACTAGTGCTTTCTGGATGGCGAATAGAATTGTGTCTCTTTTACTCTTCAAAGGAAACCGCAGAGAAATATGGTCAACTTAATGATGTGGTCGAACTTGTTGACAAACCCTAACCCCACCTAGGCGACAATTGACGTATTTCTACATTTTAACAATTATCACAAGTTAGCCAGGCAGAAATTTACAACAATTAAATATAAATCACAACTGAAATCTATATATAAATTCTGGAATTTGTACCCTATGACAAACGGGTTGAAATTTTTTAAATGTTATAGGCTAGCCTCGAGACTAGCCTATAACATTTAAAAAATTTAATTTATAAACTAGAAGTGATCACTTTTAGATTATAAATGAACCCTTTGCCACTTTTTGCACCCTTTTTGCCACCGGAATATATAAATTTTGAAATTTATACCCTAAGACAAACAGGTTGAATATTTTAAAATTTCTTAAATGTTATAGGCTACCCACAAGGCTAGCCTATAACATTTAAAAAATTTAATTTATAAACCAGAAGTGATCACTTTTAGATTATAAATTAACCCTTTACCCACTTTTGACTATAATTCCCATAGTTCTAAAGATAAAAGGAAATTACTTTTTTTTAAAAATATTTCCTAAAGTATGGAGCCCCAAAAATTTTTGAAACAATTTGGTCAACGATTCTTTATTAAAAGAATTAAAATTCAAAGATAACATTATAATCAATTAGTACTTTTTTTTACAAGAACGTTATCGTATTTCATTTTTGTTGCGAAAAATAAAATAAAAGTATGTGACTTAAAAATAAAACTTTCGTTATGTTAAATATCTTTTTACATGGGATGGATTTTTCTTAATCTGAATCTGTGAAAATTGAGAGTGCAGTAGGGCTGGAGATATTCATGTCGAAATCCTTTCCACTGGACAGAAAAGAGTTCTTTGAAGAGTCTGACCAACTGGTGAATGAGCTTTCACGTCCCGACTAAAAAATGGGTGGTAAGAAGTCAAAAAATTAGATTAACAAGTCAAGCAGACGAAAAAAATCTTACTGTAATAAAAGTAACTTTTTCTTCTTATAATAAATCAAAAATACCTTCGTAAATGTTCTGCAACCAAAATCTGAATTCTCCTCCGCAGACAAATTACCATTATCATTAATTCGTTCCCTTATCCTTCTCTCGAATTGATATAATTCCTCTCGTAATTTCTCAACAACTTCCTCAAGTTTTCGCGTCACTGCCTCATCGTCAGTCCAAAAAATTTCATCCTCCACATCAAAATACCGAAAACCAATTCTCGAATCAAATAAATTGTAATTTTTCCCCCTCTTCATTAGCAATGATTCATTGTCAGTCGATCGAAAGGAATTTTTTTCCGTTCTCTGTTCATTTACAGAAAAATCCGTATGAATTCCAGAATCAACAGATTCAATCAAATTTTTCGTTTCATTCAATTCAAAATTTCTCCATTCAGAATCATTATTATTATTATCTTCTCCAACTAAATTTAAAAAATTTTCCTCTCCTTTCTTTATTTTTATCACAGCTTTTGGTATTAGAGATTTTTTTGGACTTTTCTTCACACGAAATGTTTCTGGTGATAAATTATTTTTCTCCAAATAGTTGGTAATTTTATTATTTTTCGATAAAATATTCTTTTCCGGGCAATTGTCGATAATTTTTTGTCTATTTTCATTTTTCTCATCGTTTCGTAATATTCGTTGGGGTAATTTTGAAGAAATTGGTGATGTTAGTTTAATATTTTCTTCAATTTGTTGATTTTTGGCGAAATCCTCATCTATTCGGGTTTTTATACTTTTGAGAATTTCCGATTCGACGGAATCTGTTTTCATATAATTTACAAGCGATTCATATTTGAAATTATCTAGTTTTCGTAATTCTGTTTCGCAAAAAATTTCCCCGTCATCGAAAATTTGATTTTCAGTTAAAATTTCATCTAACGATGAATTGCGTTTCAATTTTTCCGATAATGTGTCCTCGCAAAATATTATCGATTCACTTGTTGCAATTGTTTCCGGAATTTTTGTTTTTTTCGGAATTTTCGATTTTTTTGAATATTTCGAATTTTCCTCAATCTTTGCATTTTTTCGACTCTTTGAATTACCGGCAGTTTTCTCTTTTTCACTATTTTCCAAATGTTTAGAATTTTCCAAATTTCTCAAATTTTCTTTCAAATTTTCCGATTTTTGAAATTTTTTTGATTTTTCCGATTCAAAATTTGTCGATTTTGGAAAATTTTTGAAACTTTTGCAGTTTTTCAAATTAGCGTTTAAATTTTCAGATGTAGAAGTTTCTTGACTTTTCGTCATATCAAATTTTTCATTATTTTCAAATTTGAAAGAATTTCGAAAATTTTTCCTATTTTTTAAATATAAATTTTCGCTTTTTTTCGAACTATTTAAAGTCTTCGGTGAACTTTCACCACACTTGAAATTATTGACATTTTTTGAATTCTCATTTTTGAAAGTTCTACAATTTTCCATCATTTTAAAATTTTGCGATTTTTGACGATTTCCCCGATTTTTTTCATCATTATTTTCCAATTCTTGAGGATTTTTTCTCTCATAAAATTTCCAATTTTTATCACTTTCACAATTTTTTCCCCCTTCATCTGAACTCGATGTATTGTCATTATTTTTAATCTTCCCCTCAATTAATTTTTGAAGAGAAGAATTTTCCGTGTTTTCATTTTTTTTGAGAAAATTTTCATCAATTCGCATTTGTTTATTTCTTCGTTGTCGTCGTTGTCGTCGAATTTTTCGTGAATTACGTTGAATTTCATGAAAGGAATTTGTCAAATGAATTTTTGTTTCTGAAAATGATTTCAATGAATTTCGCGTACATTGAATGCAATTGCAATTAATTGTCGTTGATTTTTCCGAATGTAAAATATTATCCAGTGATTGTGTTTTAATTGGTTTTCGACTATTAAAAAAATCGAGCCAAAATTTATTTTTAAAAATTTTTTCAAATTGCGATTTTTTGTCTTGTTTTTCATTTTCAATTGTCGATAGATTATATTTTAAACCAATTGAATTAATTGTCGGCTCATCGGGACCGAAACGTTGAATATTTTTCACTAATAATTGTTGTTCCGTGTCGTTAAAGCGATTGGTGAAAAAAATTGGTTTCCAATTTGGTAAATTTGAAATTCTAGGGACAAAATTTTCTGGTTCTTGAAAATCTTGTTTTAAACGATTTATTAATTGACTCAAGAGATTTGATGATTTTATGTTATTGAGAGATTTTGATTTTTCACCTAAAATTTCATCACTTGTTGATAGTTTCAGATTTTTTCGTTTTCTGTAAATTTTTTCAATATTTTAAAAAATTTAGAAATTTTTTTTGGGAAATTTTCGAATTAATAGAATTTTTTCACTTTTGGGTGGGAAAAACGTTACTTTACTCACTAGGGGAAAGATTCTTTTATTTTCTAAGGTTTGAAAGAATAAACTTTACTTTCTAGGGTAGAAAAGAAAAATTTTACTTTCTAGGTTTAGAAATTATTTTATTAGGAATGAAAATGTACTTTACTCACTAGGGTTAAAAAAATATACTTTACTCCCGAGGTTAAAAATAATTATTTTACTTTCTAAGGACAGAAAGAATAAATTTTACTCCCTAGGGTAAAAATCTACTTTTCTCCACTGGGGTTAAAAATTATGATTTTTCTCCCTAGGCTTTAGTGAAATTCAAAATTTTGCTCTCTAGTGTCAAAAACTCTCCTTTTACACCCTAGAGTGAAAAAAATTCCCATCGAATTCTCGTTTGTCTTAATTTACCTACCGATTTCGATTTTTGAAATTCCCCTTTCGCAATAAATCCAATTGAAAATCTTCGAGTAAATTTGTCTCACTCATTCCAAAGCATAAATTATTTAATTCGCGTAACGATGATTTTTTTCCAATTATTAAATCACTATCATGACATCCAATGATCATTGATCTTGAAATAAATTTTTTCTCATCCAAACTCCTCAAATTATTATTGTCCATAATATTAAAAATATTTTCATTCGTCTCGACATTTGATTCAATTGATTCGAAGTCATTTATCTTAAATTATTATAGAAAATATAATTCGTTTTATTTATTTTTTTTTTTATTATTTTTGAATGGAAAAAAATATTTATTATTATTGAATTATTTGTATGACATTGATATTAAGATTAGCATTTAAAGGTTAAGGTTGTTGTGTAGGAAAACCTGAAGGTTAAGATGAATGATTAAAGATCTCCATATGCGTGAAAAAGTTGCACAACACGCGTCGTCTCTCGCGATAAATGTAAAATCGATTTAAAATATATATAATCATTAGGTGAAAAATTATGGTTTTTTCGTTTAGTGAATTTTTTTTTCTTTTTTTTTTCCACTGACGTGTAATTTTATTTATATTCTCGTTATTATTCTTTCTCCTTTAACCTAATGAAATACATTCTCCTTAAAAACAATAACATTGGTAGCAACTTCACGTCACTTTTATTTGCTTTTCAAATCAATTGTTATTGAATTTTTTAAATATTTTATTTTCCTTTTTAATGTTTTACTATTATTAGCTAGCAAAAAATTTTATCGACAAAAACTTTTAATAAATTATTAATTAATAATTATTAATAATAAATAATTCTAATAATAATAATAATAATAATAATAATAATAATAATAATAATAATAATAATAATAATAATAATAATAATAATAATAATAATAAAAATAATAATTATAAATAATTAATAATAAATAATTTATTGTTTCAAAAAAGTGCCAAATTTTCTTTATTACCTACAAATTTCCCAAAATTTAAAATGGTTGATCCAATATGGAGGACACGAGAAAAATTCTTCCTAAAGAAAAGATTTCGTCTCAAAATTTATTTTCAAGTTATCTTTTATGAATTTAAAATTTTTAATTAAAATTATATGATTTTTGAAAGTAAGAAGTAAAAAATAATTAAAAAAGGGTCATTCTGTATTAGCATGTTGCTAATTGGTACAAAGTTCGTGTACATCGTTATTAAATGTCTCAGTTATCTACCTTTGCTATGTGATGAGAAATACCATTGCGCGTGATTGACCCTTGAATGCGCCTAGAGCCGCGAACGTTCATAGCTCGTCATTAGTCTCTTGATCTATTAATTTGTTTCGATTATGATGAGGTGCACAAAATGCGTTTGAGAATTTCGAATATTCAATTCTTACTTAGAAATTTATAATTTAATGATTATTATATTACTCTATCACTCTATATGTATATGTATACATAAAGATCATATTTACCTGACATTCAGGAATATATTGTTTACATAAATAAGGGATCCACATGCGTTTTATTTATCATCAAAAGTTGATATTTTTATTGAAACATCTACTTACTTTGTATTTTAAAAATCTGACTTCAGATTTGTAATCAACGACTTCGAAAATCTCTGGATACCGATGAGTTTTATACGAATTCAACTAGTTTTTAAAAATTTGCCCGCCATATTGGAGCCGCCATTTTGAATTTTGAAAATCTGACATTATATTTGTAATCAGCGACCTTAACAACCCCTAGATACTAACTTTCATAAAAATTCAACTAGTTTTTAAAAATTTGTCCGCCATATTGGATCCGCCATTTTGAATTTTGAAAATCGGACTATGGATTCATAATCAGCGACTCTAACAACCCCTAGATACCAACTTTTATAAGAATCCAACTAGTTTATTAAAATTAGTCGCCATATTGAATCCGCCATTTTGAATATTGAAAATCGGACCCAAACAACCCCTAGATACCAACTATCATAAAAATCAAACTAGTTTTCTAAAATTTGTCCGACATATTCAATCCGCCTTTATGAATTTTTTTAAATTTGACTTTAGATTTGTAATTAACAATCCATAAAACCTCTGAATTAATTATTTGTCCAAATTTTTAATAACTAAACCGAATTAATCAAAAAACATTAATTAAAGACACGAAACAAGGTAGATTCAATAAATAAACTGCCAGAAAACTGGAAGTAAACTAAAATGTCACAAATATTGAAGTAGAATTAATTTTTTTTTGCTAAAAATAAACTCAACAATAATTCCACTAAATTAAGAGTTCTTAGGGTAAACTAAAAAAAGCTAATTTCGGAGTAGAAATATTTTTTGTAGAGCCAAAAAAAACATCAAATAGGAAGTTACATTTAAATGTTTCTCGCTGCCTTCTCTCTTCCTCTCTCTCGCTCTCTAGTTTGCAGTCACTTGTTGCATTCCTATGGCTCGAAATTAGTAGTTGCCTCGGATTTCAAGGCACTCGAAACATACATAACACGCAAAACAGCCCGCTTTT